TTAAGTCTGATCATTTTGTCACGAAGAAGTGCCTAGTTTGTATTGAGGTCACATCGATAAAATCATTGTAAAAAGTCAATAGAAAAGACAGAAAGGTCAGTGATAAGCCTGTCTACATTCACTCGGGTATAACCAAATATTTCTTTCGAATTTCACGCTTTTGCAAACATGACTTCACAATGCAAGATATTATGGTCGCTACCAGCATCCAAAACCTTTACCGAAACATTATTTGGTTCCGTAGTAAACAATCACTAGGTGTAAATCAAACGACGCAAGCACGTCAAGAAAATATTGTCATTCACATTCTCCTGTGCCATTCCGGGGCCTGCATGATTGCCACTCAATATTAGAATAACTGAAATCACCAGCAAGAAATGTCGGTGACGTTGGGTATTTATTTTGAACAAAACTTACTCATTTAAAATTGAGAAATTCGTGAGATTAATTAGGTGGGCGATAGCAGACACCAATGATACAGGTATTTCGCATGGGCAGACAGAGAGCGATCCATAACATTTTGGGGCGAAAATTTGTCTCAATAACGCAAGCTTCTAAAGCGGCTTTTACCATGACCAACACACCACTTCCTCTTTATTAAACCCTATCTTTTCTGAACAATGAAAATTTACGAGACAACGACAGTTCATGATCAGAAATGTCATGTGACAAACACCTTTCAGTGCCCAGAACTATGTCTGCTGAACATGATTCGACATATGAACACATGTGATCTTGCTTTTAAAAAATACTGCAGAAGTTTGACACAAGAATAGACAGATGCGTACCACAGAGTTTATGCCGTCATCACTGGGTTTTCGCAGAGACTTGACGCTTCAGCAGGGCAGCTACTTTGTTAGAAGTATAGTCCAAGACATAAATCGTGTTGTCTAGAAGAAGCTCGTCAAGCAGAAGTTTGAATTTGTCACCGGGTTTTCGTTTAAATTAAGTGAAATCTCTGAGCTTTTTTCTAATGATCTGCAACCTGGGTGAAAGATCTTCGTCCACACATGAGATGATTCTAACCTTTTCAGTTTAAATGCATGTCTAAGTAGGTTATTTTTTTTTTCTTTGAAGTTGAGGAATTTCACTATTGTTGGCCTAGTATGGCCTGGTCTTTTTTGTCCTATTCGATAAGCATGGTCCATTTCACAAGCTGTGATTCCTAAGTTCTTAAAAACAAACTCAGTTACAAGTCCTTCTGTTTCCCACCATGTCTCCGGGTCTTTCTCAATGATTCTTTTAAACATAAGGATTTAAACCAAAGTGGATTGTTGCGATTGTCTTGATTCTATGCTTTCTACTAGTTTGTTGTGGGTGTCCTTAAGCATATGAACAACCTCGTCAGATCCAAAGAATCCTTCTAAATTGGCAATTTGTCTCTTTATTTCGGTTATGTTCGTTTGGACGTCTTTTACCTTTCCTAGGATGTCTTTTTGAAACTTTCCGTTAGACACAACATTATCCTTCACAACAGTAAGCAGTTGGTCGACTTCGTCAGGGCCAGGATTCGATTTGACGTCTCCTGCACGAAGCAGCAGGCGCGCCAAACAAAACAACACCCTGCCAGTCGCCCTGCAACACAAATGATAGCCAACCTGACACACAGACTTAAGCAAGGATTGTAGCCGGACACAACCACACCATGGTACACGTTCACTTTACTCTGTGATTACAGGCGAAGCAACTAACATGAATGCAGTATATGCATATGCCTATACCCATCACAAATACACACACACACATACACACACACACACACAAAATTTGCAGCCGAAAAAAAAATTCTGAGGTTAGTGTTATTAATTCAGATTTCAGGTGAATCATGGTGCTCTGTTGACTTGGGAAGTCCATCCTTAGTATCACGTCTTTGGAGCACTGTTACAAGATAACGAATCTCACACGATAAGTCTGGTTGATGATTGTGACTCTTGCTGGGCAAACTCCAACCGTCATTATCTGGTGGCCTCCAGTTGTCCTGATTTTAAAGCCATTCCAAGAAGTCTTTACTTTTCCAAGCTTGGCGGCGAACAGCCGACTGATGATGGAATAGCCAGCGCCAGTGTTCATGGGAGTGGTGATGGGACCATTGATGAGAACATTGTGGTTACTTGTTCATCATCTTTCGTTGCGGTTGAGTCGCGGCGCCGGATCATGGCTACATTGGTTTGCTCCGCTGCTTACACATTGCATGGTCAGGTCTTCATCTCACCTCGAAGTTTCCATGTCAGAGCTGCGTTCGGGCTGCGTCAGGTTGAAAGATTTTGAAGAATTTCAAGTACCTGTACGCACTCAGTTCGTCGTACAGCAACCGCACCTCCTTCGGTTGCTGCCCTTAACTTTTTGAGTAAGGGCTCAGAGATCGGCCCAAAGAAGGGCTGGCATACTGCCTGTGGTGTCGTGAAGCGAAGCGGCCTGGCAATGACGAACCACAAGGTCGCCGAGGTGTCGACAGCGCTCCTGCGAGGTTGTCAGAGATGTCACATGGCGGTTTTCCTGGCTGTATACACAGCACATTCAAGGTAAAACCATGCAGTCCCAGCTCACGGTATTGGCAGTGGCGATACGTGTGACCAGCTTCTCCGCAGTGATACCATAGCTAGCGGTGGTCGGGTGCACGCCAAGCGTCAATCTTCCTCAGTATGTACCACAAGGTGGCTGGTGGGCGGTATGACGGCTATGGTGATGGCGGCAGCGTCTGGCAACGATAGTGCTGCTGTACGGCGTCCTGACAAGAGCATGGAAAGGGTAGGCTGCATTGTGTTGCAGCAGCATAGCTCAAGGCCTAGGACTGAGGCTGTAGTTGGTCAGGGGTATCAAACGACTGCTGCAGTTATTCACAAATGATCTCAGCTATCGAATCCATTCAGGTTGCGATCTGCGGAACATTTTGTGCAGCTTCTCACGACATAAGTTGTTGGTTCCCAGCACTTGAACATCCCTGTAACTCGTCGTTGGCATGCGGCGATTGTACTGCCCTTTGCAGATTTCTAGCTCCTTCTCGATGGTTGTGGCCTCCAAAATGAATTCTGAGGCCGTCTTCGGTGGGTTGCAAGCAAGTCCATCAAAAGTTTTTCCTTCACTATGACAATTTTTTTTTTTTTCCTCACACATGCCAGCCTCAGCATGGAGAAAAAGCCGCGTCATCTCTCCCATAATGCTCTCATATGGGAGCTGCACTCACGTGTTCAGTAAAGCGGCCACTCTTCCTTTTCAAACGACACTTATGAACGCTGCAAGGAAGCTGGTCCAGATGTCCCGCGTTGTCAGGGTGAACTCTGTTCTCGAAGCAGGTCCCGACCCTGTCTTCCAACGAGACACAAAGAGCAGCTTGTCGTCTAGGTCCCAATTCTTGAAGGCTAGAGTTTTCTCGTAACACTCAAGCCACATCTCAAGATTCTCACATGCTAATCTTCGAGAGATCGGCGGCTCTTTCGGCTGCTGAATCATGATCGCAGGTGGTAACACAGTGACTGCGATTGTTGCCACCACAAAGGTCATGACCGTTGTCTTCCGGGTCTTATCAAGTAGAAGCCTAACTCTGGTGGCACACCTCGTTGCCTGCAGCTGGCTCCCTGGTCGGCGTTGGCGTCGATGTATCATTGACGATTGAGGCTTGTCTCACAGCTGGAAGGGGGTGTTCGGTAGATGGACTGGGAAGCACCTCTATGTCATGGGGTCGTAAAGCCGACGAAGGCAGAGACGACTTGTCCAAAATGAAACTGTCTATTTGGCCAAGGTTGTGGCCAGTAAACATAGCGGTGAACAAAGCGTCGGCCTTCAATAAACTGACAAGTGGGAATGCGCGTCAGCATGCATACATGTGCATTATTCCAGCCTTATCACTGGTCCTCGTGCAAGCTCTGGATTAACTTCAAGTGTATGGGTCTTGCACGCAATCTTAACAGAACCATCTGCAATAAAGTAGATAGGCGGGCGAGTTGAAACTGATGCATTCTTGAAAACTTTTCAGTGCGAACGAGACGGAACACAAAGAAGAGGACAAGCGCTGTCTAGCAACTGACATTTATTGAAGAAAATTTTAACCACCTTGAAAACCAAAAATGCATGCGCACTTATCAACTGTTATCAAAGAACTCATACAACTTATTTAGTTCACAATCTAACAGGCTACAATAATCGCGAACTTTCTCGAACAAGTAAGTGATATGTGGGGTTTAACGTCCCGAAACCACCATATGATTATGAGAGACACCGTAGCGGAGGGCTCCGGAAATTTTGACCACCTGGGGTTCTTTACCATGTACCCATTGCTTTCTTAACAATGAGGCGCAGTTTGCACTGAGCATTTCTGGCAGGCTTTGTCGGCGAAAACTGAATGAAACAAAAGTGGAAATAAAAAACGTGCATAGCAAAAGATTGAATGCATGGTGCGAGTGCCCTCTACAAAATGATTAGTGCATTTCTTGTTGATTATGTTTCAATACTCTTTAGTTTAGCACAACGGGAAAAGAGCGATTAAGAAATGAGTCAATAGTATTTTTCAACATAGCTTTGTACCCTGGAGCTGCGAGAAAGTAGAATTGCCATCATTGTTCAGAATACCTCAACTTTCCCAACTGAAACAAACGCTTCGTCTTGCCGAAGTCTCTTTTTAAAAAGTTGTTAAATCAAGCTGATTGCCTTTCACAGCTTAAAATTGCATTCAAATACTAATAACACAGGCAACAGTATGCTCAATAAACAATTCCTAGTTAGTTTCAACAGAACATTTCGAAAACTCCAACAAGCAAATGTCCGGACAAAGAGCTGCTTCACAGTTAATGGCACTAGAGTCAGCCCATCTATGCTTTGAAATGCATTTCTTCTGATTTAAGAGGTTACAGACAGGAAGTTGAACATCACAATGCAGCAAGAAATAATCACTGAGGTTAGATACTTGACAGATTGATGAGACAAGATGCAGTATGTTAGTTTGCACAAGATCTGAAATACCATCTGTGTGCAATACAAAAAATTATTTACTATGCATCACTAACCTGCATTCCTTTCCGTAGTGCTGCGGCTGCTGCACCGACCCCGAATAGGCCAAAACCAGCCCCAAAATATGGGTTGGTGCCAAGCTGTGACAGATACTCAATCACAGTCATCTCTTCCGTGAAACCTGCAGCACATATGAGTCCATAGGTTGTGGTATTTCCAAGTGGTAGCACTCAGGACCCTGTTACCCTCAGTGAGCATTGTTTTCATAAGCTGATAGCAGCTAGACAATAGAAAATAACATTTCATGCAAGGTTGCTATTATACAGAGATACTTATCATTTGCCGATGACAGTCAGCCAATCGCACTGAAACTTTTGGAATCATAGTGAGCACTCACAAAAAACGACGAAGGAAAAAAGAAGTGTACACGACATGTGCTGGTGTGCGCAACTTGGGAGGACTGTCACTCCTGGCAGAGTGAAAAAAAAACAGCAGCAGAAAAGGCACCCTGACAAAAGAGTCATGAAACACACTTCTGAAGCTGCTTTTATAATTTGCAGTTAAACATTCCGTTTGAGTGGTTTAACATTTATTCCTCAACAACAATGAGCTGTGTTTTGATCGATGTTGCAATGAAATCTCTGGGTTAATTTCAACCATTCGGGCCCCCTTAAAAGAGCCCATGCACATCGAATTTCACATGTACTTTATTGGTCATTGGCATATTGCCACGTTCCAAAACGTTTGTTATCATCCCAAAACACTACACACCAGATGTCACGGGGTCGTGACGTGGCCGAAGACAGGAGACTTTGCATTGAAGTTTAACTGTTTATTAGGGGGAACCTGTGCCCGGTAAACGGAAAGTCCGATTACAGTAGCAGTCCTGGACTGATAGCGGCGAACGGAGCGTCAGCCATCGATCAACTACTGACAAGCGGCGAAGCGCGTCGGCATTGCCGTCGAATGTTCTAGCGTTATCGCTGGCGGTGGCGTAGATTCTAGAATAATCTATACAGTTCGCAGAGTAGGCGTGATCTTATCGGAATGATCTACTACAGTCCGGAAGCTTCTCGAAAACTGCAGGTGCGGTTTGGGCTGAGAATTGTGTAGTGTTTTGGGACGATAACAAAACTTGGGAAATGGAACGTGGCATTGGTTCCTCTGAGCAAGTTCCGCAGAATCGACGACGGCGAAAGCACTGGTGGCTTCGACAATTTCTTCGATGCATGCGACCGTTGTTCCTTTGTTCACATGTTTGTACTCATTGCTGAAATTCGTGAGCATAACCGTTGCTTTGCCTCCCCGCAGCTCTGCAATTCCTCTTGCGACGCAAATATTTCGGGTGACCAACAGATGCTGACTGCCTTCAATGACGCCTTCCAAGTCAGGTGATTTAGGAGCGCCGACTGAAATAATGACGCTTGAGCGAGGCGGAATGGTGACTTGTTCTTCCAGCACATTCAAGGCATGGCTTCCTGACGGTGTTGCGTGGCGGTAGTGCTTCTTCTGTGGATAACATTATCGACTTTGTTTTTAAGTTGATGACAGCACCATGGAGGCATAAGAAGTCCATGCCAAGGATGACATCTCTCGAGCAACACTGTAGGACTACGAAGTCTGTAGGATAAATACGACCATTAATGGTGACTCTTGCTGTGCAGATTCCTGCAGGCGTTACGAGATGACTTCCGGCTGTGCGGATTTCAGGGCCTTCTCAAGCTGTCCTAACTTTCTTTAACTTTGCGGCGAACGACCCACTGATGACGGAGTAGTCGGCTCCAGTATCGACGAGAGCGGTCACACTGTGGCCGTCGATAAGAACGTCGAGGTCGCTAGTTCGCCATCTCGCATTACAGTTAAGGCATGGCTTCGGGTCACGGCTGCGTCGGCTTGTTCCACTGCTTCCATGTTGCGTCGTCAGGTCACCTTCGGTAAGTGAGGTTTTGCCGTCAGGGCTTTGCCTGGTTGGCGTTGTGTTCGGAAAGCTCCGTCGCGGCGGCGTCGTCGTCGGAGGATCTTCGGTAGTTCGTCGCACAGCAACCGTACCTCCATCGGTTGCTGCCCTTAGTTTCCCGGATACGGGCTAAGAGACCGGCCTCGCGTTGGGCCAGAGTACTTACTGCCGGTGGTGCGGTGACGTGCGGCGGCTGAGCAACGGCGAACGGGAAGGGCTTCGTGGTGTCTACTGAGTTCCTGTCAGGAAGTCGGCGATGTAACGTGGCCGTTCTCCTGGCTGTGGACGCGGTGCATTGATGGCAAAGCCATGCAGTCCCATCTGTCGGTACTGGCAACGGCGGTATGTGTGTCCGGCCTCGCCGCAATGGTAGCAGAGTGGGCGGTGGTCAAGGGTGCGCCAGACGTCAGTCTTCCTCGGCGCACTGCGCTGGGCCACTGGCGAACGGTAGGACGTCGGTGGGGATGGTGGCGGCGGTGGCGTCTGGCGACGGAAGTGCGATGAGGCAATGTTTTGACGTGCGCGTGGAGGAGGGGCGTGGCGGCGGGCTGCAGCGGCATAGCTCATAGCTTGTAGCTGAGGCTCTTGAGGCTGAAAAACGCCCAGCGATCGCTGGATCTCCTGGCGTACGACGTCCGCGATGGAATCCAAGTAAGACTGTACTAAAGGAAGTAATTTTCACAGCTCTTCTTGCACGATCGCTCGGATAGTCTCACGCAAGTCGGTGGTTCCAAGCGCTTGAATGCCGGAGTAGTTTGTAGACGAGAAGCTACGGTTATATTGCCGCATGCGCATTTCGAGCGTCTTCTCTATCGTAGATGCCTCAGAAGTGACTTCGGCGACCGTCTTTGGCGGGTTTCTGATCAGCCCGGCGAAGAGTTCCTGTTTTACTCCTCGCATGAGCAGACGGACCTTCTTCTCCTCGGACATGTCGGAGTCAGCGTGGTGGAAAAGTTTAATCATATCTTCCGTGAATAGCGCCACGTTTTCGTTCGGCATCTGCATGCGGGTATCGAGAAAGGCTGCGGCCTTCTCCTTGCGCACCACACTTGCGAGAGTAGTGAGAAACCTGGCGCGAAAGACGTCCCACGTTGTAAGGCTTCGCTCTTGATTCTCGAACCAGGTCCGAGCAGCATCTTCTAAGGCGAAATACACATGCCGGAGCTTGTCATTGTCCAGTCATTGAAGGCGGCGACGCGGTCGAACCTTTCGATCTAGCTTTCCGGGTCTTCCAGTGGCGAAACGCGGAAAGTTGGCGGCTCTTTGGGTTGCCGGAGCAGGAGTGGTGCAGGCTGCACAAGGGCGGTCATGGTTGCAGTAGTTGATGTCGGGATCCGGGTCTGCCTGGCTGCTTCAGGAAGGGGCCCGTACTCTGGTTGTAGTCCCCTCTGCCTGCGGCTTGTTCGCTGTTCAGGGTTAGCGTCCGTGTCTTCTTTGCCGCTTGGGCTGGGGTCGCGGCTTGAAGGGGGCGTCCGGAACATCAAAGAAGCAGCACCTCCACCAGATGCCACGGGGTCGTGACGTGGCCAAAGACAGGAGACTTTGCGTCTCCTGTCTTTGGAGACAGGAGACTTTGCGTCTCCTGTCAAATAGAAGAACACACGACGCAGCTTTTAGTCATAGTCCCAGTGGTTGAGGGCAGCCACACGGTCGTATGTTTCTAGCCAGGACTCCGGGTCTTCGAACGATGACCCATGGAAAATTGGTGGTTCCCTGGGTTGATGCATGACCAATCTGGGCTGGGACGCTGCGGTTGTCATTGTCGCTGCAGTCGCGGTCATGGCCTTGGTCTTCCGCGCTTTGTCTTGTAGAAGCCCGTACTCCGGTGGTAGCCCTTGTTGTCGGCGGCTTGTTCGCTGCTCCTGGTTTGCGTCGGTGTCTTCTCCGCGACGTGGGCTGGGTTCACGGCTTGACGGGGGCGTCCGGTACATGAACGAAGCAGCACCTCCACCAGATGTCACGGGGTCCTGACGTGGCCAAAGACAGGAGACCTCGTGTTGGGATTTAACTGTTTATTTGGGCAAACCTGTGCCCGGTAAACGGAAAGTCCGATTACAGTAGCAGTCTTGGACTGATAGCGGCGAACGGAGCGTCGGCCGTCGATCAACTATTGACAAGCGGCGAAGCGCGTCGGCATTTATACTCTTGCCGTCGAATGTTGTAGCGTTATTGCTGGCAGTGGCGTAACTTCCAGAATAATCTGTACAGTTCGCAGAGTAGGCGTGATCTTATCGAAATAATCTTCTACAGTCCGGAAGCTTCTCGAAAACTGCAGGCGCGGTTTGCACTGAGAATTGTGTAGTGTTTTGGGACGATAATAAAACTTGGGAAATGGAACGTGGCAATATTATAGGTCTCATATGGCACTCACGAAAGCGGCGACAGTAAGATGTCCAATATTTTAATTTCTTTCAGACGTGCTTTCCATGTCAACAGTAGCATTGTACATCAACCATTTTCGCTGCCTCATGTATAGTATGAAGACGCGTGTTTGATTGCTTGGAAGTCATTATAAATAATATTAGAAAAGCTTGCAACATACTCAGCGTGAGAAGATTACAAATCTCAATATGTTTAATACTTGTAACAGGGATGAAATATCTGCAATTCGAGCATCCCAATCTTGATTTCTGTGCTGGAACTGTTGAATAGTCTGTACAAAGTGAAACCCTTGCATTTCTGCATCAGAACAAAACCATTAACTATTTTTTTCATGACAAAACACAAGATTTTTCTCTAAATGTTTCTGAATTATTTTGACTTTTGATTTGTCAGCATAAAGTTGGCTGTTCATTTGTGTGGAACTGAAGCCATCAGAAAGTGTGGTACTGCCTGCTTACGACCCAAAAGCCATCATGTGCTGCAGGGTCCAATATGAAAAAAATTTATGCTGCATGTTGATTGCAGCAAGACAAACTAGACTCACGCGTCACTGAGTGAGTGAAATACAAGAGGGTATTGCAATTCTATCTTGTCTTTTTATCTTGAATTTGCAGGTTCAATTCACCTGATGCATTACCGATGGTGGCGCAGCGAACAGTGCTCTCGTGATACCAATGGGTGATTTGGCTTTTGTCGACTGCTACGCTCTGGCTAGAACAGCAGCATTTTCCCTATAGTTCATTAGCATCACATAGCGCTTCTCGACTGCCACCTGTATTTTCTTCTTGTGACAGTTGTATAGATGGGTGGCAGCATTACAGGAGGTTAATAAACACTTTAAT